CCTTTTTTTGCCTTTTTTAAGATATTTGCCTTTTTTTGCCTTTTCTACCTTTAAAAAAGTCATTATACATTTAGTACATTCAAGGCTTTTCTTCGCGAAAATCGAATGAAAATGCTGCCAGAAATCTTCAAAATGCATTTTGTGGTTCAATGTTACTACAACTATACAGATTAAAGTTTTGAGTTAGAAACTCGAAAGGATAAAATAGTCAAAGATTCAAAGTACAAATTTTTCATATAGACTGCGTTTCTTTTTACATTCCGGATAATCCCATTTCACAGCCGGAATAAACAGAATGCGTTTGAAATATACGTTAATATATCACCAGGAGCGTTCTAAAGAATAAGTAAACAAAAAAGTTTATTCCAAACGTTCAGAATGAATAAAGAAATGCAGCCATAATGAAACTAGTTCATAGCTTTTCTCTTTTTACTTGTAATATAAACATTTCTAAAAAAAATATATTTTTTGATTGTTCTTCGTATTTTGTCTTTTTTTAGTGCCTTATTTTGCTTTTTTTGCAATACCTTTTTTTTTGCCTTTTCCTGCCTTTTTCGCTATTTTATTTTGCCTTTTTTTGCCTTTTTTACAATACCTAGTGCCTTTTCCTGCCTTTTTCGCTATTTTATTTTGCCTTTTCCAGCCTATTTCGTTACTTTATTTTGCATTTTTTATAGGTTTTTAGGTCCTAAAAATCCGTTCCCTGGTGATGACTAAAGGCTCAGTTATGCATTGCATGAGAGTTGGCACATAAGGAATCTGTTAAATAAGCTTTGCGTGTAAGCGGTTACCCAACGCACAGCATTACATACATATGTAAAAGTTTTTGATTTCTACGTAAAAATGAAATTCTATGCAGTGCAGTGCAAAGTATGCATAACTGAGCTACAAGCCTACTTTAAATTGCAAGTTGTGAGGTGAAAGCCTGGGAAACATTCCGAGAATTCGAGAATTCCATAGGATATGGTAATTCACTACTTCGTCTTGATTGATGGCTGTGTCAACCGATTCAAAAAAAAATTTGAATGGTCACATCATCGGCATTTGTGGTTTCTGTTTCGTAAGTGAAATATTTAGGACAAAATTATTGCTTAAATTGCACATGAATTTTAAAACCTATTTGAGGAAATGGTCCTTCGACAGATATTTTTGTTCTCGAGTTTTTCCAAGACTAATGCTGGATTTCCACTAGGCATTGAAATGACAAAAAATTGGTGAAAATGCCAGCTGGAAATGAACTTAATGACTATTTTCTTAACATAATGACTTGAATATTTTTTAATGACGAACTTTGTCATTACAATTTTTGCCATTTAATGCCTAGTGAAATCCCGCATAACACAAAGCAATTTTTTTATTGTCAGCATATTCCTCTGAGTCATTTATAAATTTCCTCCTTCCCGAATCATCTCAGCATTGGGATGGACAGTAAAATCTATTCCGCCATTTTCGAATTATTAGTTTTTAATTTTTTCGGCCTTTTTTAAGTCTGTGGATGTTCAAACAAACAAAAGGAAAGAAGAATCATCCCGATCGGTCAAGTCTTCTTTGATTTTTTGCAGGAATATTGGGGTTTTTCACAATATTCTCAAGCTTTTATGAGATTAACACACAGCTATATACACAACAAAACCACTCTTTCGACGCACACTCTTAAAATCCCCTATTATTCCCTTGCTCGTGTATGAAACGTGGACGATGATTAATAAATATGTAAAGATTTTGAGGGCTTTCGAAAGAACTGTTCTGTGGCCTTGGTCACGGGTACGGCTGGTACCGAAGAAGAGGAATGACAAGCCGAAAATTTTCTTTGACTCGACACCCATAGGTGGACAAAGAAAGCAATGGCGCCCATGAACGCAGGGAAAGGGCCAATTGCAGAAGGGTTGATCTACATAGAGAAAGCAATTGGCGAACATTCTTTCTTAGAAGAAGTGCACAAAAAAAAAATAAATATATATATATGTCTGTCAGGTACAACTTTGCTTGATGGCAATTTCATGAACACTGGAAATTTAAAAACTGGAGTATGCCGCTTAACTGTCTATTTATTTTCAAGATTTTCCTGTATTCAAAAATCGCAAATTTTTACTAGATGCTAACTTATATAATTTACCTCTTTTCTCCCTTATATGACTGTCGTATTGGGAGTTGCTGCGTGCGAAATTAATCGCTGCCATTGTGGATTGGAATTCTTGGTATTCGTCTTGAGTACTTTGTTGTTGTAGTGTCTGATGTCCTGTCAGACTCTTACCGAAAGTACTGCTGGCAGTTGTCGTTGAGGGGGTTGTCGTCGGTGTATTTATTGCACTTGCACTTGAACTCGGATTGTGACTCTGACTCACACCGGCTGATGTCTGGCTTGGCTCCACATGTGTGGGCACAATAACCAGATCCTTGGTAGCCACACCCTCCGTATCTGAGTCGTCACTTAGTTCACTTCTTAGTGAGCTTTCGCCCTTCGATTGTCTAATCGTCGTACCAGTGATACGCACATTCGCACCGGATAAAGCTAAACCGGTTGGGCGCGGCGACTTCCCGGCATTAACTTCACGCTGTTGTTCCTCATATAATTCACTACGTTCTTCACTCGCGTGCTTACTAGTGGTCACTTTCGTTGTTGTTGTCGTTGTCGTTTTCTTTTTTCTGCTGACAACTCGTTGCGATTCTTCCGTGGAAGAACCGTGCGATTGGCTCGTCTCTAATGTACTAGCCGTATGCGTCGTACCAGTCGCTATTTGTCCTGTCGCGGTTTCGCCTGTTGGTGTACTGATTTTTACTACTTTGCCTGGAGGCGTTGTTGTTGACTCCGTCATTTGCCATGGTGCTTGTTGATGATATGTTTGCTCTTGTTGTTTTTGTTTTTGTGTTTCCATAACCATGTTGCCTACACTGCTTTCGGTTTGCATTTGTTGTTCCTGCCGTTGCCGTTGCTGTTGGTAATACCGTTGGCCCGACTGTTGCGGTTGCGTTTGCTGTTGATGAAGCTGCTGCTGGTGATGGTGGTGGTTGTGGCGGTGCGTGCTACCAACCGTAATGTCAATGTTACCAGGTGACGTTTCCATCCCAACGTTATACAATGTACCGGAAGCATGGCCACCGCCGCCGTCTGGACTGTGTGCCAACTGACGTATGCGCGCTTGCACCGCCGAGTCAGTAGTGTCGTAGATTTCGTGATGTGTGCTGGATTCGTTAGTTTCATCCTCCAGACGTATTAGTATACGGCGACCACCCGCTGTCATGTCGACAGAGCGGGGTGGCTTCGCGCTTGTGCGTCCGCTTAAGGAGCGTGGCACGGAACCTTCACGCTCGCTTTCCGAGGACTCAAAGAACGGGCGATTCTCGCGCTGTGGGGAGCAACGTGGTGACACATAGCCTTCACCGTGACGAAATATTTTCTCTTGGTGCTTGCGCCCATCACTTGTCATGGACGATGTTACAATGGTGGGTACACCATCGACAGCATGCAGCTCACGCACTGTCTTCTCGGACTCCAAAAATTGTGCAGTTGCGCTTTTCGGATCACCAGTAGTAGTGGGAGTAAATTGTTGCGCGCGATGCGTTGTTGTGCGTAGTGTAACATTAAAGGGGCTGCTAGTAGTCGATGAGGTCTCTTCATATTGCTGCGCGCTTGTCGAGAGATCCTTCTTCACTATGCGATGCGTCGTACGCAGTGTCACATTGAAGGGACTTAACGGCGGCGCCTCATCAGCGCCCATATAACCCGATTCATCGCCTGGACTTAACTTGGTAGTCGTGCGTAGTGTCACATTAAAGGGCACAGCAGTGTAATCTTCCTCCACTTCCACGCGACGCGGCGATGCTTGTGGCGTATGACGCAGCTGCACCTGTTGGAATGCCAGTTTAGCAGCCTCGGCCTCAGCCAGCCCACGTTGGCGTTCCCTACGCAAACGTTTCTCAATCTCCAGCACATCAATATCAAAAGGATTATCCAACGGCTCAGCAGCGCCAAAGGCATCTTGGCTTGTGTACTCTGCAGTTGGCTTCGTAGTTTCCACAAATTCGCGACGAAGCTCTTCAGCGCTTTCGTCCGGTGAACGCTTAAGGCTGCCGCCCGAGGACCAAACCTTTTCATACTCAGCCACTTTTTGACGCAAGCGATGTGACGGTGTGGTCGGCGTATCCAGCTCTTCCTCTGCTACATATTGCATAGAACTCGAGCTGGAGCTACTCTCATGGAACTCCGTGGAATGGTGTATAATTTTATGCGAGGTATACGTGCGCGTGATTGTCGATGTCTCTAGCTGTTCACTTAGTACGTCATTCTCCTCCTCCTTCTGCTCAATAAAAGAGCTGGCGTGCGGCGCAGCTGTTTCAAACGCTGACGATGCGGAGGAAGACGCATCAGCTGTGCGATTTAGGCGCCGCGTGCGTGCAGCTGGAATGGGCGCAGGTGCTGCATCGTCCAGTTTGGTATTACGGGCTCGACCCACAGCAGCAGCTGCTGCTGTTGTTGCAATGGGTGGGTCTTTATTTTTTCCTGGGTCTTTGTCCATGACATCGATATGTTTATTGTAGTTGTTGTGCTTGTCATGTACGTCCAGTCTGCAGGACAACACATTGAGTCGGCTTACGTTGTGTTGTGTGTGTACGTCGCGCAGCAATGCCCAGACAGTGTTCAATGTCAAATGTGTCTCGGATTGAAACTCCACATGCAAGGAAATCGATTTTTCTCACGAGCACATAACGCGATTCGACTGACTAACTTGCTATATGCGTCTGCAGGAGTTTTCGTTCCCACAGCACTCGCTTGGCTTGCGCGAGCCAAAACAAAATTTAACAAAGAAATTACAACACATACTTGGACTATGAAGAAAATTTAATTGCGTCTTGGTGTGCTAAGCAGCACCGCGTCGTGGATTATAGATATGTATGAATTTACGTTTAACAAACACAATTCACTTTTTCCACTCACTTTTTCACGTTTTGCGCACCCTTTCACTTTAAGGGGCTCTCAAATTTTCATGCATTAATTTTTTCCAATTTCTCTGGATTTCTTATTCGTTGATTGATAAATTTTTTTCCCCAACAATTTTTCAAAACTACAGTGCAAGTGCTGTACATATGTATGTATATTTTTACCGTAAGCTAGAACGGTTCACATTAAAATGCTAATTCACACAAATGGCGTTCGTTTGAGTAGGTAATTGGGTGGCCTTTTTCACAACTACTTCGTACAATTTTTTTTTCCTTTCTCAAGGTGGCGGTATGCAAAATAATATTAAGTAGAAAAATATGTATGTATGTACTAAATAATTTTGTGCGTTTTTTCGCCTTTTCGCTGTATATTTTTCCAATCCGTTGCAGTAGAAAGCCGGTTCGATACTGAAATCTAGACTGGCCAGCTAAACCTAATGAGCTGCTTGCTGCTACACCTTTTTCTCGTTGCTCCAAAGCGAGCGCTAGCGACACGAAGGCACAGCTTCATTTGGGAGCACAAGCTGATTTTTGAATGGAAACGAGACGGTAAGCGTCTCCAGCACACCACACTATTACTAAATGCATACATTTGTAAACAAAAACGTAGTATTTAGCAGTAGCACAGAGAGAGCATCGGTATTTTCGACTGAGCTTCTTACTACGTTTTACGTTCGGCTACCATCACCACACCACACCACCGTAATATCCGTAAAATACCAGCACAATCTCATTGAGAATTGGCGTAGTGGACGCATGTTAGCTGTGAGCTTGCTGTGCGATTGCTGCTTGTAAAACTGTGCCATCGCAAGTCGACTTATTAGGAGGGTTGATAAGCCCAAAAAGAGTACGTACTATACGCTAACTCTGAAGCTCTCTTTACTTGACTTGTTGGCGCGCTTTGTGGGCCAATGCATGCACGCTTTGTTGGTGAGGTGGTTTTGTTTTGTATGTGACATCATCATCGTAAACATTTCACGCACATTGGACGAGCATGAAAAAAGAAATGAAAACGAAAACTGCGCTACACAGCAAATAAGAGGTCTATTCAGATATAAGTAATAAGTAGAGCTCGATTTTTTCTGTTAAAAAATAAGCCTAAAAATACGTACCAACATAATTTTAAAGGGTAGTATTTATGTGTAGGCCTATTTTTGAGCATATTACAATAATTCACTCCATCACTTTTTACATATCTGCGCGTCGATTAGAGATGAGTTGGAGAATGATGTTGGAATCAACTTGAGAACTATGAATTTCTCCAAGGTTAGGAAACATTTTTTTGGTGTTTGTTGGTAGCATTCCTGAAGCGTATCTCTTTACCGACCCTAGGGCTTCGATTGCAGCTTTACTGTCCACAACGAAGGCAAGCTTAGTTGGAGGTAGGTCAATCATGCTTACCAGCTTTTCCGCCATTCAAATTGCATATAGCTCAGCCTAGAATAAGCTGCAGTAATCTGGGCGTCTATAGGACTCTTTCAAAGATAGATTATACACCACTAATTTTTTAGTTTAAATTTCATATTCATAAAAAAAAAACTTCTTACACCCATATGGTCCACCTGTATTTACCTATCGAAGGCTGAATGGAAGATCCACCTATCTAGGCAGCCGGTTCGAAAGCCCCTTATCTCAAAAAATTGCTCAAAAACGTCCTACTTCAGAATCTGGTTGAAGAGCGTCCTATCTTAGAATTTGATTTAATAACGCCTTGTCTCAAAAAATGGCTCAAGAACGCCCTTTTTCAGAATTTGGGTGAAAAACGCCCTATCTCAACAAATGGTCTCAGCCGCCGATATATTTAATTTACAATGAGATAGGCCGTTTATGAGCCATTTGCTGAATTAGGGCGTTTTTCAACCAAATGCTGAGATAGGGCGTTCTTTAATCAAATTCCGAAATAGGGTGTTCTTGGAAAATTTTCTGCCATAAGCCGCGCCGCATTTTTGATTTGTGATTTGATTTGTTGGACAAATGAAAATAAAATTTATTTTCGGTTTGATTCATCGACCAAATAAAAAGCAAATTTCATTTTCTCGAAAATCGTGCTTGCGTTACTTAAGAAAAGTGGTTTTAGTTCGAAAATCACGAATAAAATTAATTTGCCCAACAAATCAAATCGCAAATAAAATTTTTTTTTATTTGTTCGACGAATAATATTACAAATAAATTTTACTCATGATATCTAGCCTCATTGTAGAGCTGGAAAACTATCGATAGTCGTGGCCATCGATAGTTTCGATAGTCGATAGCCACAACCATCGATAGTATCGATACTGTCGATGTTTTCGATAGTCAAAAACTATCGATACTATCGATAATCCCATCGATAGTTTTCCAGCTCTACCGCATTGTGAAAATTACTTGCACTGGACACGACGCTCGCAATGAGGCTGATTAAATTTATATTATCTTTTTAGGATTTGATACAACCTCAATTCAGAAATCAATTTTTAATTTGGATTTGGGATTTGACTAATTAAAAATCACGCAAACTTGATTTCTTGAATTTCCCTTTCACCGCCATTCCGGACAGCGGCACTTTGCCCATTAACGGTACAAACTTTTAAGGTGCATACCCACAAATTATATTCTTCGATCATTTTCTGTGTTCGTCATCAAAACTATGTGGTCTTATCCGAAGATTTCTTTCACCTTACATTGGAACTTTTTTTTACTGGTCCCAAACCGGCGCACCGTTATGTTAATATGTATGTATACAATTTCATTAAAGAAGATCGACTTTATAACGCCACGTAACAATATTGAAGGTATGTATTTGTATAACTTCATACATACATATGTACATATTTGTAGAGCACTACACTATCTGCGTTCACTTATTGCAAATTTACTAACCTCGCTTTATTTACCTACAAAAGCAAATCTCAAAAGATCTCTCGAGATAAAAAGCGTTCAGCACTTGGGGCATTTAATTCAACAATTGATAAAAGTAATGCCAATAAAACCACAATACAGTTGCGTAGAATTTAATTCCATACACATAGATATGTACTTACATACTTATGTACTTACATACATTAACATTACACTTTCGTTATTGTAACTACAAGGTCAGTTTGGATACTGTAATACATATATGTATGTATGTATGTATGTAATTACATGTACATACATACATACATACATTCTTAAATATTTACAAAAACAACATTATGTTTTTTTCATATCCCCAAACAAGCCCCCAGTACAGCCATTTACAATAAAAAACCAACACTTATAAAAATAATATTCCAGACTTACTTGTACGTGTTCCAAAAAAAGAATAAAATCGGAATTTTTATGCTCTCACCCCTTAGAATTTTTTTCACCCAAAAAAATTATGCCGCTGTTGTTTTTTATTTTGATATCAAAAAATACTTATATGTCGCTCAAAGCGCTCAAAGTTTTCCATGGATTTTATATGGGGAAAAAACAATTCTTCGTAGAAATAATATAGAATTCTTGAAAATCAATGTTTTTCGTTCGGAAAACTTTGTTTCTCGTCCAGTCAAAATACCTAGTTATTTATTTAACCATTTTCTGTTATCAACTATTTTTTATAGGACCTCTTAAACGACAAAAAATGCAATTCGGTACCCAAAAAAATCGCTGGTATTAAAAATTTGTATAATAAACAATTGAATAATATTGCTGGCAGTCTCCTGAACAGAATCAAAGTTTTCCGATCGAAAAATATTGATTTCAAAAATTCTATATCATTTGTATGAAAATTTGTTTTTCCCCATATAAAATATAAGGAAATCTTTGAGCGGTTTGAGCGACCACTTAATATTTTTTTTTATTTCAACATAAAAAAGAGGTATAATTATTTTCGGTTTAGAACAATCCTAGGGCATTAAAATTCTGACTTTACTTTTTCACATGCATATTCGGACCAGCCTAATGTACGTACTCGTGTTTATATAAAATCAATAAAACTAAAACACCCATTACTTAATGGGTCATCATTTATTATTAACTTTTTTTGAATACAACGATTACAATCGTCCCCCAAACATATGTATATATGTGTATTAGAGTGGTTCACAAAGATTTCTTTTTGGAAATTCATAAACGCTATTGTTATTTATGATAAAAAAAGAGAAACGTGTTTTTTTATTTTGAAAAAAAGTTTTCTTAGAGGTCGCGCTGGTCAGTTTTTTATAAAAACGCTGATGTTCTCAATTTTTTTATTTTCTTGATATGTTAAAATGCAGCTAAAAATGTGGTTTTTACATATAATTACTCTGGTATTATTGGGGAACTTTCCCTTAATTACACACAACAAATCCAATCTTTTTTTTTTTTAAATTGACCGCCATTTTGGATCCGCCCATTTTGAATTTCGAAAAACTGACTTCAGATTCCTAATTAGCAACCCCAGAAACCCCTTGGTAACAAGTGCCAATCCATGACAATGCGTAAATCGTTCAGTATCAACGTTTTAATTTTACTAGTGTCTTTTCGAGAGCATATTTCCGGGAACTAGACCCATTCTAATTGTCCAAGACAGGTGTGTAATTAAGGGAAGGTTCCCCAATAATACCAAAGTAATTATATCTAAAAACCACATTTT